AAAATTGACAAGTTGTGAGGGAAGTATATCGACTTTATCAACGCTTACAAAGAACCATAATGGTTAAATGCAAAATACCCCAAAAATAAAACAATTGGTACATGTTATAACGTTTAGTGACAAATCCATCGATGCTTGCATGTTGAGCTTTATTCCTTTTCCCTTTGGGTGATAGAACCATGGTATAAAACCAGTCAGTCTGCAGAATATCCTTGCTGTATGAGGTAATTTAGTGTTGCGCCTGTTCAGTATCATCGAATTGATATCAAAAGTCATTAAAACTGAACTAGATAGCTAACAATTCAAAGGACAGTTCCATTTCTGGTATACAAATGCAAGAAGGTATGAGCTAGACATGGCGGCAATGGTAACGAATGTCCATGTGTTCAAGACGAAATTGTATACCTGAGTGAGAACGGCCCTTTTGAAAAGATTTTGATACGCCGAGAACCATCTGTTGAGTAAATGCATTGACTTCCTCACAATGTCACTGTACTCATAGTGTGACAGGTCCTGAAAAAAACATGTGATTTTACAATGAACTTCCTTGATCATTGAAGAAAATACCGAAAGGTACACGATTTTCGTATGTATATGTCTATAATCTGCGACAAACGCAATTCCTGGACAAATACGACCAGGTGGATGCATATGAGCATAGTCCGGAATTTAGTGACATTATGTATTGTAACGGTTACAATAGTTATGGGTTTTAATTCATAATTCACTCATTGCAAGAGTATCTTATTTTTAAATTATTTCTCATTGATTTGATCGCACAAATAGAACTGCCCTGATCACAGTTAGTGTTTGTCTTGTATTGCGCTGCCCTTTCCTTCCCTTATACAAACAAGACACCTTTTCTCAACTTTTTTTAAATAAAGATAGTTTAATGTGAAATGCTTGTGCCGGCGTGGCCGAATGGTTAACGAGTAGGACTAGTGATCTAAGGATATCTACCCGCGTGGGTTCAAGCCGTTGTTTACGTAAGCAAGGATCATTTCTTTGCTTAGTATTGATTGGTTCAAGGTACGGATTCAAGATCGTTTCAATAAGCTTATAGCTTATAACACAATCCAACTAAAATGAACTCGCATAAACTAAATACTTTCCCTTTCATATAAATCATAAGTGTACGGTATAATATAAAATAGCTGTTGCCTTTCCACACAGTGAGCTAAAATACTTTATCTTCATGGACAACTACGCTGGTGGTTGTTTTCAGCGTTGCTTTTAATTCGAACTCAACACAGGACTTGATATTTTCTTCGACGAATTTGCATGAAATAAAATGAAGTAATCATACACTTTAAATGAAATCGTTAGTGTCCATTGATGCTGCTAATACCCTACAAGATCTAGAACTTACAATCAAAATTTCTACAATATTGTACTGCCTCATGAAAGCTGTTGCATCAAATATATCAACCATTTTCTTTTTTGCTCTCTTAGCAAGTCTGAAAACAGATTGTAAATTATATATAAAAATGAATTTTACAAAATTTCAGGGCCAAAGTACATAAAGTACAATTTCTACGAAGTCCAGCCTTGCATAGCTTTCATTTATCAAAAACGATAACAAATAATTGACACACGGCATTGTAAATTCTTTACAAAAATAAACAAAAAGTATGATTCGTTGTGTTTTAAAGCAGCACGCCTACAGATCAATGCTAATTTTCATGAAAATTTTGAAAATGTATTTAAAAGTAAATTATTGTGAAATGAACAACGAAAGAGCTTTCAAACTGCAAACGGCACTAACAGCCTATAAGACATGTAAGAAATACCTATAAAGAGGTCAGAATATGCAAAAATTGGCATTACTGCGTTAGTAACGCAGTAGAAAGATAGTGAAAAATGCTGCAAAATTGGTCATAAATGACACATAACATGACCATTATTACATTTATCTTGAATATTTCTACTTTTATTAAAATGTCAGTACTTTTTATCTAGTACAATTTTCTAGAAATATTTTGGCTCATCTGGAGGCATGCAGCTTTAAAGAAATCGACAAGAAATTCTATCTTGACTTTTTTTTTATTTTTTAATGATTTTTATTGCTTTTTTCCGAAATGACTTTTTTTCATACAAATTGTCCGTTTCAACTGTCATATACAAGCATGGGTGTGTGTTTATAATGCTATCTGGGAAATAAATCTCGATTCTTTTTGACTTAGTGAACATAAGGCAATGTGTGTTACTATCGATGTTATAATTACATAACATGTCTTACCCTGTGTATTTCTCCAATTCAAAACCCTCATTCATCAAAGGAGCAAACTCCGACACCCCTCCTGGCCTATTCATTTGTTGGTGAACGATTTTGAATAGGTAGATAAATTTCTTAAACATAAATATTAAACAGAATAGAAAGATATATATAGCATATATACAGAGACCGTGTTAAATTAGTCATAACTGATGTCAGAAACATTTTTATATCTTTTCAAGCATGTCAAAATAAATCTATTAGTGGCTCATATTTATTTCAAACAGTGATTTTATCTACTTTTCCTCAACCTTCAAGGCGTTGATTCTATCGAATTTACCATGTTGTCATATCTGGTATTATCTTACCTCCAGTCTGTTATTGAACCTGAAGTTGAAGAATAAATCAAGAACCTCCATAGCCCTGAAAAGAAAGTAACAAGCCATTGTTTAGATCTATATTTTTATTTATATAGTGCAGGTGATATAATAAATTGAACAAATCATAAATGTGCCTTAATTAATGCTTAAAATATCAACACAATTCTGAAAAACATTTAGTCAAAAATAAAAACAATGACAAATGAACCTCTCAAAAATTAATTATTGTTATGAAGCCTTACTGAATTTTAGCCTCAACTATCGCCTTCGTTTCTGGACTAGGTTTAAATCTATCTTTTTGACGAAACGAAAACAGAACTTCCATTGTCTCCTTTCCTAAAATACAAAAAAACATCTAGTTAAGAAACTATCTAGATAACAAATATTGTTCTAACGCAGTATCAGACCGCATCTGGTATATTATTCAAGGATAGAAAACTTGTGGAGTCTTCTATTTGAGAGTTAACAAAAACAGTGTACAGGAATACGAGATAATATTTCTCATAAAAACACAAATGTCCATAGTAAATAAATATTGTCCGGACATATTCTTAATGTTAAAAATAATGTTTTAAAATAATTATAAAAAACTGAAAATAATCTTTGCAAACCGAAAACTTCAAGGAAAAAAATACTCCCAGTTCAAGAGCTCAAGTATGAATCACCTTCAATATTTGGATACGGTTTGTCATATCGACCATCAAGAAGTGACATAAGTGGATCCAGCAGTTTCTTTATGTCATCATATTTTCCGTAGAATCCAAAGGACACGAGGTAATACACAAGTCTCAATACCTAAAATACAGTAGAGGTTATTCAAGATTTATCAATTTATTTATTTTATTTAAGTATTGTAGACGCTGAAAAATTTAGATAATTTTTTAACATGTGTATTTGACAAGAATAACAAATCTTAAATAAACAATACATAAGTCATTAAATGTAATCATTTCTAAATCAACCTGTTGCTACATTTGAAATCATTAAGATAATCCAGTGAATAAAGGTTTTATTCTGAGTTTGAGTTCTGAGTTCTATATATGAGTTCGAGACTGACCACAGCAAAACATTTTAAATACATAGTATGTTGATATTTGATATCGTGTCTACATTACTATAACATTAAAAACGGTACTTATTAGTCAACAGTCCCGGTGCATCTTCCCATACTCGTGATGAGTATCAGTCAAAAGTAGTTGATTTAAGTCAAATTTTATGACAAATCCTATTTGAGTCCATCGGATTTCCCCATGACTGTCAATTATAAGAACTATTGTTTTAACAATAAGATAATGACAAGACGTTTGATCGAGCAGACAGAAGCTTTTTATGAAAATATTGACAAGAGAAACAAGTCTGCAGAATAATATGTTGACCACTTCTTTTCCAGTGTCACGTAACACACATTGTAATCATGATTTCATGAACTATTTGAGTTCGTTTAAACAATATCAATTTATTTTTCCATATTTTCAAACAAAATTACAATACATAAATCACAACCAGGATTGAGAAGAAAACTTAAAGCTTATATGAAATTTTCTCCTAATTTGATTTGACAGTCCATCAGTCGCTGAGTTAAATCCTACCTGTTTTATGAGAATGTTGTTCCCGATATTTGATGCCGTCATTTCTGTGTTCCTGCTGAGGAAGTCTGTTATCCAATGACTGAGGTGGGGGAAATATTTGTATGTTTCAGACTGGCTATTGCTAGCGAGGATTTCAGGTTCCTAAATTGAAATTGGCAAGATGATTTAAATATGTACATACAGGCTGTATAGCACCTTCTGACAAAAAATTAGGGCAAATTTTAGGGCAATTTTAAAAAAAATTTAGGGCTAAAATTAGGAATTTTAGGGTAAATAAAAGAAATTTTAGGGCTAAAATTTGGAATTTCATAACTAAATTATGGCCTCAAAAGACCATGATATGGGCTCAACTTTGCATATTTGACACAAAAGTAACTCACAAATAATGCTCTAGTTCGGTTATAGCAAAGGTGTTACCAGTGTTCCATAGTCACCAGTGAAGAAATGGATTCACTGGTCAACTGCCTTTAAAAAGAGCTGAAAAACTACATTAAAACATAACTAGAATGAAAACATTTTCAAAGTTATAACTATCCCGGAACAACCAATATTCAATTAGTTAAGCTTTGATTAGCCAGTAATAAATGGAAGGGGAAATTATGCTTTAGATTTATTTTAGCTATAAATGCATTTATTATCAACATTTATTCATTTTCAACAAGTCTTGATCTTCAATCTTAAAAAACAATAAAAACAATATGACCCACTCAAGTCATTCCCAGGAATATTTAAACTAAAATTCAAACAGCAGGGTTTACACCTGTGCAGAATTTGTTCAAGATAAATCAGGCTACTAAAAATTTTACAACAGTGTCAGTTTTTTCAATGATTTTCAACAGTTTTTTTCCAGATTTTAAAAAACTTACACTATAATTATGTTATAACATATGTTCAGTACATGTTAATTAATGTGTACAAAAAGGGCAGCTGAAGGTGTCACTTCTTAGTACCCTAATTGGGTAGCAAAATGGTTAAAGCATCCAATCATTACTGCCAGTTTACCTTACCCACTTTATAATTAGCAATGGAAACTTGTCTAGATCTGCCAGCTGGTATCACTTACAAAAGATCTGTTCTACAGTCATCACTTGAAAATAACTTGATTACAAATTAAGATTTTATTAATAAGGACCCCTACATAAAGTTTGATGAAATTTAGTGGTTCATCATGTAAATAGTTGCTTAAAATACACCTAAAGTCACTGAGGTAAATGGTAAAACTCTGTAGCAAATAAAAATGTAACTTCCTTTGAAATTTTTTTATCACAATTTTAAACAGGTGACTATTTTGATATTGTCAAAGTTGGACAATTTTCATTGTTCCATTTAAAACAAACAGTTCCTTATTATTTTTCTGATAACATCTGGTAATTAAAGAAAAAAGAAAGAAAAAAAAAGTTGACCCTTCTGGGAATTGAACCCATGGCCCTCATTTTCAATGTAGTTAACAGTAGTTCTAGCCTATTTGAATACTCTTCAACGCGGAGGTAATGCATTAGGGTGCTAAAACCTTAATCAAGTATGGCATTTCTGTAGGCATTGAAATAAATTTATGCAATTTAGTCAGACATGACATCAGCTCCACTGACTGTGTTCGAATTTAAGTTGTGATTGAAACATGGTTGTTTCACGATATGTTTATCACAAAAGATAAAAAATAGGAATTTAAGTGAAAAAATAGGGCTTTTTTAGGAATTCCCTTTGAATTTTTCATTTTTTTAGGAATTTTAGCCAAACTGAAAAAAATTAGGATTTTTTAGGAATTTTAGGGACGCTGGACAGCCTGTACATATGAAAAAAGTGTAGCCATAAGTTTATTTTCCTAGAAAATGGGGTTTGGTGAACCGATATTTTAGTAACAAAGATCTATAATTTCACGGTTGGAGTCAATAAAAAATGCAAATTATTTTAGGTTAGTCAGTAAAATGCTGTAATTTATCTTTGAGTTGCACAGAGTGAAGAAAAAAACGGAATAACGATTAAAAGTCAATTTAAAAAGATTTTGGAGTACAACAAATTGGTTAGTTCACTCGCCATACTAACTTTCCCAGATAGATTAAATTCATTTATCTAATAATCAAACAGTTACAAATTAAAATTAACGAACAATTTGACACAGAAACAACCCACAACAAATAAAAAACGGACCTAGAAGACTTACATCGTCACTGGCTACGTCATCAAAGACATAGCATAGTTTGACTCTGTCCAACACCGAGCGGTTCCCTCCCCTGTCTACAAACAGTGCTGGAAAAATATGTCGATCGAACAAACATCAAGTAAGAATCAAACGAGACAACAAAATACTCTCAAGTATCGTATTCTTTATCTTGTAAATAAATCATAAAGGTTATTTACTTTAGTTTTATGAGAACCTCGACTCTGATTGTTTTGTCCCATTTTAATCTCTTTATGGACAATTAAGTCTATTACGTATGTATACATTGCTTGCAGCTGTATAAAGGTATGGAGGGCGATCGTTGCCAAAATTCCAGACATGTAATGTATTCCTTTTGAAAACTACTTTTGAAAATGCGAACATGTATGTCTAGCATTTTTGATTGCATTCGTGCACAGCAAATGATATGCCTCTTAATCCAATCTTTTAATTGAAGGTACCCGCTTTTAAATAACAAGTTTACATGTAAATCTTAACAACTGACCTAACACATATTTACAAGTTCGTATCTACCATTGCATATAATACATAAGCATGTTTACACACTTGTAGATATATATATGTACCTGAAAAACACAAATGAAATGTAAAACTCGAATGCAGAAAATATAATTTAATAAAACGTGTTTCCAGTCGTAGAACTACAACAGTACATTTACACAGTTACATGTTTAAAATGACAAAAGTAGATTCACAAAGTTAAACGATTTTAAGTCATGCATGACGCCCCGCCCCTCTCTGAGTACTTACGATCTTCTATCACGGAAATGTACGGACAGGTATAATACCCGTCGCCTCTCTCCTATTTCTCAATAAAGTGAAGGAAAACACGGCGTCCATTCTAACTTTTTTTTATTTCTATAAAAAGGCCAATATAATTTGTATCAAATGAAAGATTACTCCATAAGCTTTCTATTGTCATGAGTGCCTCGGAAATAAAAATGAATTAAATAGATGTATTGATTTTTTAGGTTTTTTTTAGTCTAAAAATAACACTCTCGAATTGGTAAGAAAAACACGGCGTTCCCTCCAAACTTTTTTTTTATTTCGTAATATATTTTGAAAATTTTGGATTGAAATAAAAGTGTGATTAATACGATTTATGATATATAATTATATAATGCCTCAAAATAAAAAGGAATTAGATCTAAATCAAAATGAATTAACTTTTCGTTAAAAAGTTTATCATGTTACTTTCTGTAAAATAGAGAAAATAAGAATCCCTAAAGAACGCTCAAAACGACAAAATTGAGAATGTTGCAGGCCGGTTTGATTGAGCCTGCTCATGGACGGTAATGGAAAGAGCAAGTTATCGTCCACGCCCCCTAGCACCGGCTTAAGCAAAATTCAACATGAACTGGTACAATTTTGAATTTTGAAACATCCGCAGATGTGTTAATATGGTGATTATCATGGAACCTTCAATGTGACACGTAAGTGCCATACCATGAAAAACGGCATATGATCCCCAAGTAAAAAAAAAAAAAAACACACACACACTCTGAAATTCAGTAAGAGAAACATGGCGCCCCTACTTACTTTTTTTATTTCTTGGACAATTTTGATAATTTTAGAATATGATAAACAAGATCATCAAGGAAAGGCGGCGTTGATAATTTTAGACTCAAGTAAAAAGTTCTGGAAACAAAGTGATCCCTCGGAAGCATTAATCACAACAAAATTACATAAGAATTGCAGACTCGGTTTGATTGAGTCTGTACATGAGAGATAATGAATCAGTGCAACATCCCTCACGCCCCCTAGCACCGGATTGAGCGGTACTCAATTCTCAACACTTAATAGTGCTTAAGAATTCTTAATGAACTTTCTAGTGATGCCTTAAAAATGAAAATTAATTACGTAGAAGTATTAAAAATTTTGTTTCTAACTTATCGTTGTTTTTTTTCTCTCTTAAATCCACACTCATATATTCGGAAAAAAATAACGTCGTTTCCTTTAGATACTTTATTCAAAAAGGAAAATAAATATTGAATGAAGTTAAGACCATAAGTTTTGAACAAGTATATTAAAAATCTGGAAACAAGGTGATCCCTCGGAAGCATTAATCACAACAAAATTACATAAGAATTGCAGATTCGGTTTGATTGAGTCTGCACATGAGGGATAATGAACAAGTGCAACATCCCTCACGCCCCCTAGCACCGGCTTGAACGGTACTCAATTCTCAACACTTAATAGCGCTGGCATCAATGATCCCGAAGGACCAGAAAAATATAACAACACTGAAGTGAAGTACGGGGCAACTTTTTACAGCTGCCACACGGCACTTGACACCTGCTGTTGTGAAGTATAAAAATCTGGAAACAAAGTGATCCCTCGGAAGCATTAATCACAACAAAATTACATAAGAATTGCAGATTCGGTTTGATTGAGTCTGCACATGAGGGATAATGAACAAGTGCAACATCCCTCACGCCCCCTAGCACCGGCTTGAACGGTACTCAATTCTCAACACTTAATAGCGCTGGCATCAATGATCCCGAAGGACCAGAAAAATATAACAACACTGAAGTGAAGTACGGGGCAACTTTTTACAGCTGCCACACGGCACTTGACACCTGCTGTTGTGAAGTATAAAAATCTGGAAACAAAGTGATCCCTCGGAAGCATTAATCACAACAAAATTACATAAGAATTGCAGACTCGGTTTGATTGAGTCTGTACATGAGGGATAATGAACAAGTGCAAAAAGTTTTTATTCATACTGAAAATACCTTATTAAAGATTGTACATATGTGCTACGGATAAGTATTTCTTGATTTCGGAAAGGAAATCTCGGTGGCCGCTTTAAAATATACTTGCATTAGTTTTTGTTGAAAATGAAATTTGTGCCAATACATTTTTCAATGATACCAATAGAATATTGGGTGGTTTTTTACATTATTAATAAAATTACTCCCTTGAAGTTGGTCATTGTTTCCCCTAAAAATTTCCCAATCGCCGATGTTTCTCAGGAATATATGATAAACAAGATCAACATGGAAAGGCGGCGCTCAATGAACGCAACCCCACATGACCCAGCAACAAGAACAAGTGGCAAGAAGCCAAGGCGGACCCAAAACAAAACACAGGACAGGGCACAAGGCAGAGCACGGACAGGCTAATCACTAAAATGATAAATAATTTGTAACTGATATGAACACGATGTTAAAAATAAGGTAATGCATAAGTTATCTTCATCATAAATGGTAAAATCAGCAATTTTCAAGTGATGTTGCTACTGACAAAACTTTTGTAACAAATGTAACATATATATTTTATGAAAAATGCGTATATTGTCCTTCAGTTTTATCTAAAAATATGGGAGAGGCGCCGTTTTATACCTGTCCGCAATAGAAGTTCGTAAATACTCCGAGAGGGGCGGGGCGTTATGCTTGACTTAAAATCGTTTAACTTTGTGAATCTACTTTTGTCATTTTAAACATGTTACTGTGTTAACGTACTCTTGTAGTTCTACAACTGGTAACACGTTTTCTTAAACTCTATTTTCCGTATTCGAGTTTTACGTTTCATTTGTATATTTCAGATCTATAAGTGTGCAAACATGCATATGTATTGCATGCAATGGAAGATACAAACTTGTAAATTTGTTGTCGTTTTAGATGTTAGGTCAGTTGTTACGATATATATGTAAACTTGTTATATAAAGGCGGTAACCTTCAAATAAAAGATTGAATTAAGAGGTTTACAATAAAAATGGTAGGCATACAAGTTCGCATTTTCAAAAGTCATTTTAAAAAGGAACACTTTACATGTCTGGAATTTTGGCAACGAACGCCCTCCATATAAAGGTAGGTGGGTGTCTAGAAGTATTTCAAATAATGCACGCTTTTCCTTCTTCAGTTCAAGTCAAAATTCACCACATGACACTGAACAGTGTTGCAAAACTTTTAATTTTTTATTTTTGTAACGTTCGTGTACATTGATATTATGTATAATGCTTTTCATTTGATCGTCAGTGAAAATACAGGTCTCTTTAAAATTGTCTTTGAGAAAAGGCTTAGAGAAAAAAAAATGTGATCATTAAATAATAATAATAAACGAGTGCCAGTAAAGTATTTACTTACTTATGATAAGGTCACAGCAAAGGGCACGGAGCTGTTCAGGAAGATTTTCGTTACAGAGGCACATAAACAACTCGTCCCATGTAAGGTATTCATTCGTGATAACAGAAATAGAGTTTTCATTCTGCCCCTATAAACGGCAATGATGAATGAACAATTAAGGTTCTTGCAGATAAGTATGGTTCAACACTTTCTACAGTTGCTATTTAGTC